GTGAGATAAATCTCTTCTCCTAATCACCTGGCTAGTTTTAGAATTTAATCTGTGAGGAAAAGGTTTGAGAGGAATTGTATCCAAGAAATTGTGAGACAGAGTTCCACATTCTGGCGAGTGAATGAGGTTGTCCTCCAGCTTCTCAAGACTCACAATGTAACTGAACATTATATATGAGCTTTTGCATTATAATTTACTGAACTCTTAAAGGGAATTCAGTTTTATTACTCTCAATACCTAATCAAACTGCTATATTTGTCCTAGGAGTTATGGAGAAAGGAAAAACTATTAATTAATAAGTAAAAACTGCAGAAACTTATGCAGCACTTAATGTTTGAAAACTTTCCCCCTTTGTTTAGTTGATACCGTTACTGAAAGTTATATGTCTTTGGGAAACTTTAAAGTTAGGAAATGCTGATATTTCACATTACTAATTTCTAAAGCCTGGGTAAAAGAGCCTGGAGAACTTCTGAATGTAGAGAAGTTCCATGCAGGGAAGAGGTACCCCTGTAAAGGTACCAAAGTATTACATGTTCTAAACAGACTTAACTCCTCAAATATGTTCATTTTACTTGTCCCAAAATAATATCCACAAATATAAAACTTTAAATAATAAATTGTTATTTTTCCCACTGTGAGAATCTTTAATGTGAAATGTATTCTGTGAAAATAAAGTTTTTAAAAAAAATTTAAAAAAGACCATAGACATGGATTGATGAGAGAGGGGAAGAGCAATTTCTATGCCTCTGCCTTAACTCTCCCTGCCTTCCTAGATCCGACCAGTGTTTTGGTTTCATCCACATACGCTTGTGAATCTTTGTTCTCAGTGATGAATTTTGTTAAGTCTCGTAATAGGAGTAGCCTGATGGATGAAAGTAGTAGCTCGTGCATATCTCTGAAGGTCACAAAATATAAACCTGATGTAAAATCTCTGTCATCAGTGATGCAGCAGCAAAAGTCCCACTGATAATATCAAACGGAGTCATAAAGTTTTCTGTTGGACTATCAGTGTACATGTAATGGATTAAAAAACTGGTAGAACATATTTGCCAATGATACTTGGCAAAAACATATACTGTGTTTTTGTCGCTCGAATGAATTTTATTATTTCTTCAAAGTTCTTCACATACGTACACCTTAAGAGATATCAAGTAGGCGTAACATGTTCTCAAAAAATTAGGGTTGGCACGCAGAAGAATTTTGAGTCAGAGATTTTGCTGGTTTGGGCACCCACTCACAAAAAGGTTGCCCACCCCTGTACTAGAGGAATCCACAGGCAGCAAAATCTCAGACATATGCCAAAGCAATTTCTTCACTGATACTGCTCCTAGGGCAATGGAAACTAAAGAGAAAATAAACAAATGGAACTACATCGAAAATAAAAAGCTTTTGCACAGCAAAGGAAACCATCAACAAAACAACAAGAAAGCCCACTGCATGGGAGAATATATTTGCAAATGTTATCACTGATAAGAGTTTAATCTCCAACATTTACAGGGAACTCATACAACTTAACAAAAGGAAGATAAACAACCCAATCAAAAAATGAGCAACAGACCTAAATAGATACTTTTCGAAAGAAGACAGAAGGCCAAAAGACATATGAAAACATGCTCAAAGTCACTAATCATCCGAGATATGCAAATCAAAGAGACAATGAGGTACCATCTCACACCTGTCAGATGGCTATCATCAACAAATCAACAAACAAGTGCTGGCGAGGATGTGGAGAAAAAGGAACCCTAGTGCACTGCTGGTGGGAACGCAGACTGGTGCAGCCACTGTGGAGAACAGTATGGAGTTTCCTCAAAAAACTAAAAATGGAACTCCCATTTGACCCAGTGATCCCACTTCTAGGAATATATCCCAAGAAACTAGAAACACCAATTAGAAAGGATATATGCACCTTTGTTCATAGCAGCACAATTCACCACAGCTAAGATTTGGAAACAGCCTAAGTGCCCATCAATAGATGAGTGGATTAAAAAACCATGGTACATCTACACAATGGAATACTACACTGCAATAAAAAAGGAGTTCTTACCATTTGCAATAGCATGGATGGAACTGGAAAGCATTATGCTAAGTGAAATAAGCCATTCAGAGAAAGATAAATACCACATGATCTCACTCATTTGTGGAACATAATGAACAACATAAACTGATGAAAAAAAACAGATCCAGAGACAGAGAAGCATCGATCAGACCATCAAACCTCAGAGGGAAGGTAGGGGAGGGTGGGGGTAAGGGGGAGAGATCAACCAAAGGACTTATATGCAAGCATATGGGCCTAACCAATGGACACAGACAACAGGGGGGTGAGGGCATGAGTGGGGGGTGATAGGGGGAAACTTGGGGATAAGGACACATATGTAATAACTTAACCCAGTGGTTCTCAACCTGTGGGTCACGACCCCTTTGGGGGTAGAACAACCCTTTCACAGGGGTCGCCTAAGACCATCGGAAAACACATATATAATTACATATTGTTTTTGTGATTAATCACTATGCTTTAATTATGTTCAATTTATAACAATGAAAATACATCCTACATATCAGATATTTACATTACGATTCATAACAGTAGCAAAATTACAGTTATGAAGTAGCAGCGAAAATAATTTTATGGTTGGGGTACCACAACATGAGGAACTGTATTAAAGGGTCACGGCATTAGGAAGGTTGAGAACCACTGACTTAATCAATTAAATAAATAAAGAAAGAAAGAAAGAAAGAAAGAAAGTATTTATACAACTCAACAAAAAGTAGGCAATCAATCCAATTAAAAAATGGCAGACCTAGCTTGTTTGGCTCAGTAGATGGAGTGTTGGCCTGTGGACTGAAGGGTCCCGGATTTGATTCCGGTCAAGGGCACATGCCTGGGTTGCAGGCTCAATCCCCAGTGGGGGGCTTGCAGGAGGCAGCCGATCAATGGTTCTCTCTCATGGTTGATGTTTCTATCTCTCTCTCCTTCTCCCTTCCTCTCTGGAATCAATAAAAATATCTTTAAAAAATATATATGGGCAGAAGACTTCAACAGACATTTCTCCAAAAAGGACATACAGCCCTAACCAGTTTGGCTCAGTGGATAGAGCATCAGCCTGCAGACTGAGAGGTCCCAGGTTCGTTCCGGTCAAGGGCAGGTACCTTGGTTGCGGGCACATCCCCAGTGGGAGGTGTGCAGGAGGCAGCTGATTGATGTTTCTCTCTCATCGATGTTTCTAACTCTCTATCCCTTTCCCTTCTTCTCTGTAAAAAATCAATAAAATATATATTTTTTAAAAAGGACATAGAAATGGCCAAGAGACACATGAAAATATGCTCAAAGTCACTAATTATCAGAGAAATGCAAATTAAAACCACAATATCACCTCACACCTGTCAGAATGGCTATTATCAAAAAATCAACAAGTGCTGGCGAGGATGTGGAGTAAAGGGAACACTAGTTCACTGCTGTTGGGAATGCAGATTAGTGCAGCCACTATGGAAAATAGTATGGAGTTTCCTCAAAAAATTAAAAATGGAACTTCTGTTTGACCCAGAAATCCCACTTCTGGGAATATATCCTAAAAATCCCAAAATACCAATCAGAAAGAATATACATACTCCTATGTTCATAGCAGCATTATTTACAATAGCTGAGATTTGGAAACAGTCCAAGTGCCCATCAGTAGATGAATGGATTAAAAAAAACTGTGGGACATTTACACTATGGAATACTATGCAGCTGTAAAAATGAGGGACCTCTTATCCTTTAGGGCAGCATGGATGGACCTGGAAAATATTATATTAGGTGAAATAAGGCAATCTGAGAAAGATAAATATCACACGATCCCATTTACTTATGGAATCTAATGAACAAAATTAACGAACAAAATAAGACCCGAAGCAGGGAGGCATGGACCAGACTGACATACCTCGATGTGGGGTTGGGGGGATGTGAAGAGATAAACCAAAGTACTTATATAGCCCATGGACACAGGCAATAGGGTAGTGAAGACCTGGGGTGGTGGGAACGGGCTGGGAGGAGAGGGGGAAGGGGAGGGGGGGGGGACATGGGAGATATCTGTAATATTATCAACAATAAAAAATATATATATTAAATAAAAAGTTAAAGATTCAACTAAATGCTGCCAACAAGAAATGCACATAGAAGCATGGAACAGACTGCTGAATCTCAGAGGGAAAGCGGGTAGGCAGCAGGGCGGGGAGGAGAGGAGGAGATTAACCAAAGAATTATATGCATATATGCATGACCCATGGACACAGACAATAGTGTGGTAAAAGCCTGGGGGGAGGGGGCAGTGGAAACAGAGACAGAGGAAATGAGTGCAGGGAGGGAAAAAGGGGACATCTGTCATACTTTCAAATAATAATTATAATTTTTTTTAAAAGAAATGCACTTTAACCATCAGAATACAAATAGGTTAAAAGTAAAAGGATAGAAAAAGATACAGCATGTTAACACTAATGTAAAAAGCTGGAGTGGCTACATTAACTATCAAACAAAGTAGAGGTTCCAAGCAAAGAATATTACTGGATAAAGGATACTATTTCATAATGATTAAAGGGGCCAATCCACCATTAGGACATGTAATCTAAAATATTTATGTACCTAATAGTAGGGCTTCAAAATAGATGAAGCAGAAACTGACAGATTTTGAACTGAAGACAGAATAAATTACATAAGATTGGCAAGTGATAATTTTTAGCAGGTTCATTATACTTTCGTGTACATTTGAAAATTTTAAAATGTTAAAAAAAACTATGCTGCTATGTCAGAAATATGAATTTCAAAGCCATTATTCCTTAACTTAACGAATATTGGGAAGCATCTATCACAATTTACTGCTCATATTCCTTGCTCCCAATCTATAGAAAACTGCCTTGTTCCTGCATTATTCGAAAACACTTTAGCTAGGAAATTTCAAAGAGAAAAAGATTCCTATGTCCTGTAACAAACAAAGGGAGATCAGGAAATAGAGAAAACATCTACTCACCCTGGACTTTGCTTTTGAATGCATAACAGCCATTTTTCCTCCTCTGGGCCCTACTCTCAGGAAAAGAAAATGGAATTATGAAATACGAGGCCTTTCTTAGGTCATATTCTAAATTAGACCATACCTTCGTCTGTCTCCCATCCCCCAATCTACCCTCATTTAACATGGAGAGCAGTCAAAACAGTCCTCCACTTTCTGTATCAGAAAGAAAATCACAGCTGTCTTGGGCCAGAATTTATTTCTGGATTCAAAGTTGTACACTGGAAACAGACCCCTACAGGGGAGTGTTACAAGTTCTTAAGTGTGTGGCTTGCCTCATACAGCACACTCTCTGAAAGCCCATTACATTTATAAGTGGCCTTTCTTTAAGGTATTACCAGCTCTAAAATTCTCATCTCAAGACCAGGTCTGTGACTTAGAAATAACTCATTCACAGGCTCAAATTTCTGACTTCTTGTCACTTCTTGCATCCAATACCCAAAGTGAGAAGGCACCAGAAAGCAGCAAGGAACCTACAACTGCAATCCCAGGGTGAAGTAAGGATACAGAATAAAGCAATCAATAGAGACCATGTCTGAATGGGGGAAAGAGAGAGGGTCCTCACTGTGGCCAGAAGAGAAAGAAGTCCTCAGGGAAGGACAAAGCCAGGTGGGACTCATGACCCACAGACCGACTCTACCCCAGAATAAACCCCAGAAATACCAAAAGACAATTTTACCTCTGTATCCCACTGAACTCTCATATGGGCACAGACCATAAAATATACAAATGATGACACAAAGGGACACAATCCCATTTCCAGCCACACAGCCAGAGTCACATTCACCATGTTAATACTATACGGTCAGATCACCTAGTCTTAAACAAAATCCTATCATACACAGAGTATACACACAACCTCATTCAAGCACATCCAAGCACCCTGTCAGGGACACACAATGGCCCAAAACACCCTTTCACAGCAGCAATTTTACTCTTTTCACAATCTCGAAGACAACACAGCCACACGGTCATACAATCAGTCAGAAAAACACAACCAAGTACCAGGTCGAGGAAAAAGCAGTCACAAACACTAAACCACAGCAACATTTGTAACACCTCAAAGTCACAGGAAAACCCCAGTAATACACATGATACGATCACATCCACAACCTCAAAGTGACACAAGAATATCTAAACACCCTTTCACAACAGCACTGTCGCGGACCTGTAACAACACCAATCATAGCCGTATTATCAAACCGTCAGAGTCATAAACAACTCACACAAACACTTAAACACAAAACCACCGTCGCGCACGCCCATTCACTTAGACAAGTCACCCACACGTCATGCTTGTCTCACAATACAAATCCACAAGAGACACGGCCACACAAGAAATTACACCGTCTCTTCCTCCGAGCACTGCCGCCCACCTCGACAGAAGGTGCAGTTCAGGATCGCCCTCGGGGTCCAGTGCGACTTCGGCTTCGCGGGTCCCACCAGGGCTGGCCCTCGCTCCTCCACAGAAACAGCTCTCCCCCAAAGCGAGGCCCCCAAGTCGCGCGAACAAACGGAAAGGAAGCCGCCTTAGGAAGCGGGGGCTCTGGGAAATGTAGTCCAACCACCGGAAGGCTGTGGCCGGCCGGCGAAGACGCTAAAAGACACAGCCACCTAGCGGACCCGCTGGCGCCCAGGGCCGCAAGGCGCAGGCGTCGGGCGCCAGCGCGTGGGGGGGGCGGGGGGGGCGGGCCGAGACCCGAGGTCCCATGGGACCAGAGGGTGGACCGGGCCGGCGGGTCCAGTGCAGGGGACGAGCTGGTGCGGGGCGGGGCGGCGACCAGCCAGAGCCTCCGATGAGCAAGAGACCCTTTCTGTGCCTCGCCTGGCCCTTAGGTGTGTGAATGTGTGTGAAACAACGCGAGATGTTGTCAGGCGCCCTGAGTCCCTCAGTGGCCGGGTTCATTTCTCCCCTTGTGTGATTCTTCCTGCTGTTGGGTGTGGGGTGATCCGTACTTGAAGACACATGGTTTTGGCATATTTTTTATAACTGTGTGGGATTGCCTGATAGAGTAGGGACCTCTGCTATTGTGCCTTGTTTGTTTTGTAGCCATAATTCAGTGTAGTTGCATGACTGACTGGATTTTTTTTATGTAAAATGTACTTTTCTTGTACCTGTGTTTCAGTGTCTGTAAGAGTTTGACTAGACAAAGAGCATTGTGTAACTGAAAAAACAATGGATGGTCAAGTTATTTATTACTTGAACACTAATTTGATGATCTGGAAAAAGTTATGTTTATTGGCAAATAAATGATTTTTTTTCCTCAGAGCAAATACATGCATTATGGGGAAGACTACAAAATTAACATCTTTTTTTTAAAATATATTTTATTGATTTTTTACAGAGAGGAAGGGAGAGAGATAGAGAGTCAGAAACATCGATGAGAGAGAGACATCGGATCAGCTGCCTCCTGCACATCTCCCACTGGGGATGTGCCCGCAACCCAGGCACGTGCCCTTGACCGGAATCGAACCCGGGACCCTTCAGTCCGCAGGCCGACGCTCTATCCACTAAGCCAAACCGGCCTCAGCATAACATCTTTTTTTTAAAGAAAGATTATTTCAAAGCCAGCCATAGAGTAACTGTTTTTTCCCCTGCCACTGCCCCCCAAAATAGGCATCCATTATTTTTTACTATTAGGGGAACATTGTTGGATAAGATTGAGAGGCCATTGACTAATTAAATAATAATATAAGTTTATACATAAGAAGAGTGAATTTTAGCAGAGTCCAGCATTCAATTTCCTGAATTCCAGGTCAAACCCTTCTCCCATTCATTCTCTCTCCCTCTCTCTCTCTCTCTCTCTCTCTCTCTCTCTCCTATCTAATAATAGACAAACATGGTAATTGACCATACCTTTGCTACACCTCCCATTGGCTAATCAGCGCAATATTCAAATTAACTGCCAACAAAGATGGCGGCTAATTTGCATACTGCAGGCAGGGTGGGACAGCCAAGCCGCCAGCACACCGCCATCCAGGGCAGGCCTGGCCCCGCCTTGCCGCCCCAGAAGCCCCAGAAGCCAGCCTGCGACATTCTGAGCCAGGGCCTGAGGGTCTGAGCAGGATGGGGGCCATCCAGCCTTGCCGTCTGGCACAGCACAGAGGACCTCCCCTGGAAATCTGGAGATTCCACTCAGAGCACATGCGGTGTGAGAGCTCACTGCAGGAGCAAAGACTCCACCCATCAGATAGACAACCAGGCTACAGGGGGCCCAGCTCCCCCAACCACGGGTTTGCAACACACTCAACAAACAGCAACTGGCCTTGAGCAGAAGTGGGAAGGATATACCCCATCAGCCCTAGGCGTTGCTGTCCACCAGGACCTGTGAGTGTCCAGGCAGGGAAAGGAGGTGGCATAGGTGCCAGGAACTAACAACAGGTGTGAAGAAGGGCAATTAGATGAGGAGGCAGAGGAGTGACAGCCTCGATCTGATTGGAGAAGCCACCGAATTACATCATCTTTGGAACAACAGTTCTGAAAAGAAGCTATTTTCCATCCTGGACTTGAAGGAACTGGTGGAGAGGCAGGGAGCGCGGTGACTGTCCTTGAGCACGGAGGGGTGAGCTCGCCACCGGAGCGCCCTGGCGCAGGAGCGGTGGTGCCTGAGCACTCCAGGGGGTCCGAGTCCCAGCTGCCGGCCAGCACCGAGCCACAAAGGGAGCGCCACCACCGCCTGGCACGCCACCTCCCTCCCCAATGTCCTCGGCCATCAAGAGGAAGAGCCTGGACCCGTCTGAGGAGCCTGTGGATGAGGTGCTACAGATTCCCCCATCCCTGCTGACATGTGGAGGCTGCCATCAGAACATCGGGGACCGCTACTTTCTGAAGGCCATCGACCAGTACTGGCACGAGGACTGTCTCAGCTGTGACCTCTTTGGGTGCCGGCTGGGCGAGGTGGCGTCTCTACTACAAGCTGGGCCACAAGCTCTGCCGGAGGGACTATTTCGGGCTTTTCGGCCAAGATGGTCTCTGCGCCGCCTGTGACAAGCGGATCCATGCCTATGAGATGACGATGCGGGTGAAAGACAAGGTGTATCACCTGGAGTGTTTCAAATGTGCCGCCTGCCAGAAGCATTCCTGCATTGGCAACAGATACCTGCTCATCAACTCTGACATAGTGTGCGAACAGGACATCTACGAGTGGACTAAGATCAATGGCATGATCTAGGCATCTCTGGGAGGTGCTCCACCAAAGTCACTGTCTCCAGGGGGTCTTCACTCTTAGGCACTTTGGGGATTCGAGGGCGGGGTGAGGCATTTCTTAGTGGGTGGTAGACCCTAACTGGGCACAAGACACAGCATCTAAGTGACATAATGCAAAAAATGATACCTAAATGTGACAAAATGACCGGCCTTTGGGGAGGACGTATGGACCGTAGCCACAGCCTACCTATAATAACTGACATGATTAGTGAAGGCGAGGAGCGCACGGGGAGGGGACAGCATTTGGGCCATTATAACGGAACTTTACATCTACAGATAGGGAGTTGTGGAAAGACGCGCTATGACTTTGACCCTTGGCAACTAGAGATGAGCAATTGATTTCTTTACTTCCTGGCTTCCATGACAACCCTGTTCCAATCAATGTCCTCCACACACAAGAAGGATAGGAGAGCAGCCACCCTTTTTCCCTCGGCCACTTTCCTAAGGCCTTAAGCTTTGGACCCAAGGGAAGCAGCAGAGAGACACATTTCAGTTAAAAATGGGAACTGCAACTCTTAACCACATACTTATTTAAAGCAACACTGATGAATCCCTGTTTTTAGATACCTTAGTTTTGAGGTGAGGAGTTCCACAGATTGTTTCTATACAAATGTAAATCTAAAAAAAAAAGGTTGTTCAACTATTTTGTTATTTTAGATTCTATCAAAGTATTTCTTGTGTGTAGTTAAATAAAAAAAAAATTTTAAAAAGAAGCCGGCCTGCCTTGCCGCCCGGGACCGGATCCAGTCCCAGGCGGCAAGGCAACCCGGCCCCAGAAACCCCAGAAGCCGCCTGATATAGTAGTAACTTTATCAGTATGCACTCTGAAAGTCAGTGGCATAAATGCACCAATTAAAAGACAGATTATGAGGGTGAATCAAAAACAAAACCCACTTTAAATATAAAGACACATACAGATTAAAAGTAAATGAATTAAGCTGCAGCCTGTTTTGCTCAGTGGATAGAGCATTAGCCCGTGACTGAAGGGTCCCAGGTTCGATTCCAGTCAAGGGCATGTACCTCAGTTGCTGGCTTGATCCCCAGTCCCTATCAGAGCATGTGCAGGAGGCAACCAATCAATGTGTCTCTCCCTTTCCCTTCACTCTCTCTAAAATTCAATGGAAAAATATCCTTGGGTGAAGACTAACAAAAGCAAAGTAAATGGATTAAGTAACATTAAAGAGATTATAAAAAATATATATTCCAAATTTTGTTAGTTGTATAATGGCTATGTTTAAATTATTAACACCTAAGAAATTGGGTGAAGGGTACATATAATATGCTGTAGTATTTTATAGGTTTTTTTTACATGTATGAGATTATTTCAAATTAAAATATTAAAAAATTAAAAATTAATAAAATATTAATTGAAATGTATCTGCATTATATGAAAAATCTAATTGCTTCTAGCATAATTTATTAAATTGTGCTAAAATTTACAAGGGTTCAATTAAAAATATCAATTCTAAATGATATAATAGAAAATATATAATAGTGCAGTTATAAGCACTTATCTGAAAATAAAAATTTTAAAAAGTGAATTTAAAGAAGGGATTAGCCAAAGAAAACATATGCACAACCCATGGACACAGACAACAGTATGGTGATGGCCAGAGAGAAGTGGGGGGCAAGAGCTGGGTAGAGGGGGCAAAGGGGGGGAAATGAGGACATCCTATATAATAATAATAAAAGGCTAATATGCACATTGACTGAACGGCAGAATGGCCGGTTGCTATGATGCAAACTGGCCACCAGGGGGCAGATGCTCAATGCAGGAGCTGCCCCCTGGTGGTAAGTGCACTTCCATATGGGGAGTGCCACTCAGCCAGAAGCTGGCTCATAGCTGGCCAGTGCAGTGGTGGTGGCAGGAGCCTCTCCCACCTCCGTGGCAGCACTAAGAATGTCCAACTAACGGTTTAGACCCCGAGGGCTCCCTGGCTGCCAGAAGGATGTCTGACTGCAAGCTTAGGCCTGATCCCCCGGGGAGTGGGCCTAAGTAGACAGGTGGACATCCCCCAAGGGATCCTGGACTGTGAATGGGAGCGGGCTGGGCTGAGGGACCCCACTGAGTGCACAAAGTTTTGTGCACTGGGCCTCTAGTGTGTGTGGGTGTGTGTGTGTGTGTGTGTATATATATATGTATGTATATATATACATGTACACACACACATACTAGAGGCCCAGTGCAAGAAATTTGTGCACAGGTAGGGTCCCTAGGCCTGGCTGGAAATCAGGGTGGATTGGGGACTTCTGGTTGCCGGCTGGGGCCTTCCTTTGTTCTGTGCTGCACCCTGGTGGTCAGTGCACATCATAGCTAGCGATTGAACTCCCAGTCTCCTGATAAAACTCCCAAGGGGACACTTTGGATAGTAGATATATATATATATATATACACACACACACACACACACACACACTAGAGGCCCGGTGCACAAAAAT